GGAAAATGTTGGTACCCTCATCAGTCATGACAAATAGTACTCTCTATGTCCCGATTTATGTGTCTTAGTTTCATTTTTAGTCTATCTTCAAAAGAAGCTCATACTAACGGTTTTAAAGTTAGTCATCTTTGCTTTGCTTGTAACTTTTCTACAGGGAGGAGGTTTTCCAGGTTGGATGGAATCCGAAGAATGAAACCATCTTAGCTTCTTGTTGCCTTGGTAGGAGACTCATGGTTTGGGATCTAAGCAGGTTGCTCTTTCAACTATCGCTACTAGTATTATTGTAATGTCAGAATGAATGTTCTGTCTGTCAAGTCAGTATTTTTATTAGTCACAGGTCTTTAAAAATGGGCTTATGTGTTCTGTGTAGCTCTTTGATGTTTTTTGTGATTCTATCTGTATGTTAGCACCTCCCTTGTCTTGCCTGCAATAGTTCCCTAAAGTTAGGATCTATCTTACCCCATTCCTTCCCTCTTCTCCAACCTAGCACCAAGCCCCTGAACTCCTTCAGAAAACCACCTAGTACAGAAATGAGCTTAAAAAGTTATGCTAATTCGTTGTCTGATGTAGGCTCATTCTTTTGTGTGTTTGAGTCAATACCGAGTTGTCCTAACATGTGAAAATGACAACATCATATGCTCCACTGAGTACTGGCATGTGTGGAGTTAAAGTTCCATGTTGATTTGTGCACATGATGCTCCAGATGTACAATTGTAGTATCGTGTGGTCCGAATCTGAGTTTCTGATCCCAGTCTCAGTATCTGGGATTTCAAAATTCAGTTTCAAAACATTTACATTTATTTTCATTCTTAAAAAAATGCATTTACATTTATTTACTGAATTACTTAGTGTCCCTTCTATTGTTTTTGCTATGTAACAAAAAATGTTGTCTAAGAATTAGACGTTGACATTATAGATATCATTGCGTCGAGGATTTGAGATCTTGTACTTTAACCAGAATTACAAAGAATCTGGTTTTAACCATATGATAATTTCCTGTGTCAAAAAAAAAATCTGCTCAGTGATACATTAACGTCTAGCAGTCTAGGCTTAAATGCCTTTGCTTTTTCTATTTTTGATTTTATGGTGTTTACATGGTATTTTTGGAGGATTCGCTGGAATCACTATTAATGTTTCCCTTGAGACCTACAGGCAGCAGTAAACCTGAAATTCACTTTTTGATTTTGTTCCAGGATTGATGAAGAACAAACACCAGAAGATGCAGAAGATGGGCCACCGGAGTTGCTCTTTATTCATGGTGGCCATACAAGTAAAATTTCTGACTTCTCATGGAACCCATGTGAAGATTGGGTCGTTGCTAGTGTTGCTGAGGACAATATACTACAAATCTGGCAGATGGCGGAAAACATCTACCACGATGAAGATGATCTACCAGGAGACGACGCCACCAAAGCTCCCTAGGATACTAATATAGCCCCAAGGGGGTTTAGTATGTAACATCAATTAGGAGTCCAGAAATGTGCTTTCTCAATTTGCCTTCCACCTGGTCTTCTGTTGGGTATTTTTTCGCATTTTATTTCTTTTTTCCTTTTTGAACTGAGCTTCTCTCTAGCTGTGGTATTTATGGCTGTTGCTTTAACAACTGTTTTTCCCTTAAACATTTCATCTATGTATTTAGGCAAAAAAAGATTGAGCCCGCTCCTTCCTTATTGGCCCCCTTTTCATTCTTTGTATACTTTTTTTTCCCTCCGTAGTTGGCTGTGATTGCTTTTAAGGATGAAAGCGAGGTTCATGTGAGATGTATTCTTGTAAAAAAGAGGAAAATTGTGACAGAGTAGTAACATGGCATGTGACACATATTGTATGCTTAAATTGGGTGGTGATCCAATCCCTCTGTAAACCTGCAAAGTTTCACGTGAGACAGTGGCTAGATTAACCCCTAAAGAGATGGAACTAGGCACAGCCTTTTATCCAAATAATGGCCTTTTGTATTATCATCTTGTAAAATTGGAATATTTTTTCTTATATGTTTTATAAAGTTTCTACACCTCTCTCAGAAAAGACAATCAATCGCTTTTAATTATAATAACGCCCTAGTTGATAATAGAAAAGCAAAGGAATATACCAAAATTTTGTTGAATTAGGGGACTCTATTATAACTTAATAACTAACATAGATTTGAGGCTAAAGTTTGGCATATTGCGCCTAAGTTGGGAGAAGAAAAGCAGGTAAACAAAATTGAATGTATTCTGTTCGACGATGAAACAATCGCCCTATTCTTAAGGTAGGATAAAAAGGCTATTGCACCGAGGGGCCTCGCGAGGAGAGAGAAATATACTAGTTTGGTGGGACGATTTTGTGTTTTTCTTCTCCTTTTAACTATGTAAAAGATTAATAATCATAATTTATCTTCCATTATGAGAATTTTAATACTAGTATTATTCGAATTATTATGAAGTTTATAGGAAGGAAAAAAACAGAATGGATAGCAAGGAAGAAGGAAAAAACAAACGATGGAATTTGTGAAAATGGATTGAACTTATTGGTTTCAAATCTTTTTCATTTTTTTTTTTGGGAAATTTTTGAAAATGGAAATTCAGATTTTATCATACACCAATAATATAGTCTTTTACAATTCTAAGTAGATTTATCTGTGAACTGAATATGTATTACACGGATTTGATTAGAAGTTAGAAAAGTTTTTATTTTCTGGAAATGGACAAGGACAAGTTTCTTTTAAAATTAACTTTTTCCTTTAGTACTAGGTTACTGAAAAATATATTAGTACTAGGAGTATTATTTATTTAAAATGGCTACTATGATCTGAAGTTTGTTCGAAAAATGTGAGAAAACATAAAATAGGAATATGCCTTGTACCATATCTTATTCCTGTAGTACCTTCGAAAACTTAAAAGACGACGTGGCATTGTGGTTGTCGTCACGCCTCCCTATGTTAATGAAACAACACTCCACGTCTTAGAGACTCAAAATATTCAAACACCAATCCTCAACCACTCATCGCGCGTGGGATTCACCCTTTAGTGACAAACAAAAAACTCAGATCTATAATTTATGAATAAATAATTTGCTCCTCGTGAATGAAATTAGTTTTAACTTGCAAAGATAAAAAATTAACAAGTTTTAAATGAAATTAAAATAGATTTACAAATAAATAAGAAAAAATATTTATGTTGAATTACATGTGTTTGTGTATAAATATTGTTAACACATGTAGTGATTTCAAAGTCTGTTATGAATCCAGTTCAAGAATTGGGCCTAGAATCAGCTGAAGAAGTGTGTGGGCCTAGGATTGCAGAGAATATTGGGCCTGGAACTAATTTTGATTTCATTTGGAAGGGTGACTCAGCACAAGAATGATTACATGTGGTTACAAATAGCAGGGAACATGGGCAGGCAGTTAGTAATCAGCATTGTTTCCTTGTTCTAGACAAAGATCCTAGTTTGTAATAGTTGCATTTGAATATTTAATCAATAAGTTAGCTCCACTTTATTTATTTGTTTGTTACAATCTCCAAATAAAAATGCCAAACATCTAGGGGCGAATATAATATAATTATTACGGGTTCCTGTGAATTCAATTTGCCTAGACCATTAATATTCTATTTTTTTTCTTTTTTTCATATTCATCATATATAATTCACATTCACCACTTATATAATTATTTATTACAAAATTATTTTAAAGGATAAATCAACTAAAAGTGAAATTATTGATTAAAGATAATTAAATAAATATTACATCATAGTCAAATTTAATTTAAGTACCACATAAATATTCAATTTTCGCCTCTATTCTCCCATAAATGCTCGATTAATGCATTACGAAGTGCGGAATGCACATCTTTATCCTTAATTTCAACAACCACAAGCACAACAATCTTCTACCCCGTTCTCTTGATTTTTTGGTAATTTTGGTGCACCTGAAATGACATAGAGGATTACTAAACTTATATTTTATGTTTTTTAATGTAATTTCAGTTTTAATGTATTCTCCTTTGATGTACTTTAATTATAATGTATTTTTATTTTATGTATTGTTAATTTTCTTTTTTAAATTTTAGTTTTCACTTTTTAATTTTAGCAACATTAGATATCTTACATTTGTATTTTTATTTTTAAATAATGGTTATATTTCTTTTTATACAATTGTAATAATAATAAAATTAACTTATAATTTTATATAAATATAATATATAAAAAATTAATATATAAAAAAATAGGATATAAAATTAAAATTATAAAGATCTTAATATAAAAATAATTATATACACAATATATGATAAATTAAAAGTCCAAAAAAATAAAAAGATGAATAAAATAATAATAAATCAAATTTGGTGTTGATGAATGCCTGAATGGTGTTGCACTAAATTTTGTGCAACACTATTCATGCACTATAATGATGTAAGATTTGGTATTCCATTGGAGCAAAAAAATACTAAATTTTACACTAAATTTAAATTTGATGCAAAAAATAGTGATGCTTTTAATAAGTTACGCTAGTTTGTTGGCCAAAACACATGGAGTTAGAATTATGGGAGCGTGAGTACCAATCATTCAGCCCGCGCGTAAGACCGCCACCTAAACTTTGCTCTATCCTCCAACTAACTGTGTTCGAGAAGAGAAGAGAAAAAGAGTAGCGTTGAAATGACTCCACGAATCCCATTTATTCTCTCTCATTTTTATTTTCTCTCTCATCCAATCCAAAAACCCATAAACTTTTTTTTATATTTATTTTCCATTTTGTACAAATGCCCGCGCTCTAATTTAATTCCCTCTCAGATCTCTCCTTTTTTACCAGAAAAACCCTAGCTCTCTCTTTTTTTTCTCCCCTCATATTTTTACCAATTCATACTAATCAATTGATTTTTTCCGGTAAGAATCCTTCAATTTTAATTACTTTTTTTTTTTGTGGGATATTGTGGATAATGGGACAATTGAAGGATTTGATAATTCGATTAAATTAATGGTGAATCTGAGATTGATGAGGAGGTTATAAAAGGTCAAGGCGTCATGTGCTTGGCTTTGTTTTTATTGTTTTATTTAAATGAATTTTCGCTGTAATGAGTTTTTGAATTATTGGAGTATTAATTAATTCGTTTTATTAACTGTCTTCTCGCGTGATTTTGCACGTTGTTTCGTGTATTGGATGCATTTTCTGAACTTCCCCTCTTGCGTCTGTAGTAGATAGATACGTGGAAGTTGAATTCTTTGGAGGTATATATATATATAGCTATCGTGTACCTTTTTTGTTGCTTACAATTATCATTTTTTGGATCCAGATTCGCTCCAAACTTAAGGTGGGTGTGAGTCTTTTCATTTTCTTTTCTAATCAATTTAGCTTGACGGTCTGAATTACAATTGACTAAGGCAATTCTGTCTAAGAAATTGCAAAAATTGATTTTTATGTTAGTGCACAGTTGCTTTTAGTGACTTGTTATTGTGGTATGTCAATGTGATCAAGTGTTTGGATTGCTATGGTCTTGATAGTCTCTGAATTCCCCAATTTTGTGATAGTCAGATCGCCATTGTTGTAATTCAAAACTGATAGATTGTTTAATCAGTGTGTCATTTGTTGTTGTTTCGGGAGTTGATGGTGGTACTTGAGCTTTGAGCTAGAATCTCCGCGGGGGTTTGGGGTGGGGGGTGGCTAAGTTATGATGGGATCTGTAGCTTTAGTAGTTCCAATCATATATTAGACATTTGAGAGGTTATTGAAATAATTTCTCTTTTCTCAAGGGCGATGATTTAGTGAATTGCAGTAATAGGTTGAATGTTTAGGTGTCTTTCATTTAACTTTTTAAATTGCTGATCAGATTTTTTATTTTAGATTTTGTAATGCAGATTTTTGTTGTTGTTTCGCGCGCACACACATACTCACACTTATATTTTCACATATTTTCGTTCTTCAAGGAAGTTGACTAGTGAGTTCCTTCCCTGAATCATGATGCCTTGGCTTTTCCTTCTTTTGGGTGATAGTGTACCATTAGATTCTTTGACTCTCCCTCCTCCTTGTTCCTGCAAGGAAAGACAGATTGAAAGAAATTTTAAGAGTATTTAGGTATAAAGTCTAGGGCAAGATACATATTCCAAATTTTCGAATCCATTCCTTCAGTAGAATATAAGGTCAACAGATGTCTAGTATCAGAATTGTGATTTAGCCGCTAGCACCTGATACTTTTCAGGCAACTTCAGAGATCTCATTTAATTATCTTTCTGTGCATGTCGAGACAGGAGTCTGTAGTTGTCTTCTTGGTGGGAATGAAAGTTCTTGCACGTCTTCTGTGATCTTTGATCTTTTTGGAATCAATCTGTATATTTCCTTGATTTTCTCAGTAAGCAGAGGGCGGTTTTTGCCGTCTCTTACAGCGAATATATGGATGATGTTACCCGATTTTTTCTGAGCTGGCCTTTTATTCCAAGCTGATTTGTTTTCAAATCCCTCTCTCTACTATTTTGAGGGGATTCCGAGCTGATTTGTCTTCTGTGATCATATCCAACTAAATGCATTTGCTATTCCTATTGTTTGAAGTATAGCTTTTTGTTTGCTGTTTGAGATGTTATTGTGTTTTTGTCATTTTTTATCTACTCAACTGAATTGTCTATTTTTGTTCGAGAGTGCAATTATTATTATTGTTTTATTTAAAACTCATATTGTGGGTCTAGGTTTTGCTTTATATGAATACTTGTGTATTTTAACTTAACAACATATTACGGGCAATTACCCAGTCAAATTGGACTCAGAATTCCAAAAGATAAACGTAATTTGCTTTTTGACCAGATTTGATTTACAAAAGTTTTGGTTTGATTTATCAAATTATTGTGTAAAATTTGACTATACTCTGAATATTCAGCTTGGTAGGGCAGAATTGATAATTCATATAGTTGACCCCATCTAGTTTGAGATTGAGGGAATTCATTGGCTGATCTGATGTTTATTGATTATCACATGCATGCACTATTTCTCTATTTGCATGTCACTCTGTATTTAATGATGGCTCTATGCTACTCGGTATAATCTCTGTTCCTCTTGCAAAAGGTCTGCCCTATTGTTCTTTCCTTGATTGAGCTTCATGCTTCCATTTCGCATACATAGACAGACCAGAAAAACAAGCAAACACATGGCTCTTCTAAGTTTTGTGTTCGATCTGCTTTCCCTGTTCTTAGCAACCTATGCCCTATGGATAGCTAGAGCACTTACTCAAGGTCCCTGAAATTTATGATTTGTTGAAACCTGCCATGTAGTGAAATTCTTGCTCTAGGTCTCTGTTCTTTTATCATGTTTGAACCATAAAATAGGAAGGAGATATTATTTAAACAAGATATGGTAAAAAAGTTAGGAAGCATACTTTACTTGAACACTCATAAAATATTCTGAGGATATGACTATGCTCTTTTTTAATGTAGTGCTATCTTGCTAAATATTGAACTTCTGTTCCTGCAGATTTGTCTAGGAAAAATGGCTAAAGGGACCACAGGACGACGTAGGATTGGTTCTCGACGATGCAGGGCCACACCATACCCTTTGCCATCTGCAGATCATTGTGAACATGTGCACCAAAAGAAATGTTCTAAAATCTTTGAGAAGAAAGACTGGGAAGATGCAACTTGTTCCGTATGCATGGAATATCCCCATAATGCTGTGCTGCTCCTGTGTTCCTCTCATGACAAAGGTTGCCGCCCCTACATGTGCGGAACTAGCTTACGCTATTCAAACTGCCTCGATCAGTACAAGAAAGCCTACACTAAAGAAACACTGCCAGATGACAATCAATCTATGCAGGGTCCTACTGATACTCCAACTGCGGGCGTGTTTTCTACTTTGCCTTCTGAGAAAAGCGAGGTCATTGAAGTTGCATGCCCGCTATGTAGAGGCCAAGTGAAGGGATGGACTGTGGTTGAACCTGCAAGAGAATATCTGAATATGAAGACACGTAGCTGCATGCAGGATGATTGCTCATTTGTTGGAAGCTACAAGGAGATGCGAAAACATGTTAAGGCAGAGCACCCCTCTGCCAGGCCACGTGAGGTAGATCCTCTTCTTGAACAAAAATGGAGAAGGCTTGAGCGGGAACGAGAGAGGGATGATGTTATCAGCACTATAACTTCTTCAATGCCAGGGGCTGTGGTATTTGGTGATTACGTGATAGAAGGAAGTCATTATGGTTTTGATTCGGAGGATGAAGAGGGTTTTGATGTGAATGCGATGAATGGGAATGAAGGTTTTGGAGTGGGAATCGATCGCAATTTGATGAATATGTTTCTGTTTTTGCAGGCTTTTGGTTCTGCAGGGAACATTGCGTCAAATCGGGTTATGAGGCGGCATGACAGAGAAATAAGTGACACTTTGGATAGAGGTGCTGGTAGAATTGAGCGAAACCTCCCGAGCGGTGGTTTTGAGTACTCTGATGCAGACAGTGACAATAGCGGGGATGATAATGATGATAGTGGCATATCGCTAGTTGGGCGTCTTCGTCGTGAAGGTAGGGTCCTTTTGGGGCGTTCTGGGAGGAGACGAAGACGTAGAGAGGCCAATGCGGGTCGGAGATAGATGTATTTTGTGTATGTTTCAAAATTGTGAAAAAGAAATAATTTAGGGCTTAGTTTAGGATTTAACTGTGCTCTAACATTCTCATGCACATCTGCCTCTGATTGATGTTTGATACATTGTAGATTGTAGGACATCGCTCAGAATTATTGGCTGGCACTTAAAGAAAGATCAGTTTCTCTGTAATTTGTAGTCTGTAATTTCCTTACTCTGCCTGGACATTTATATGTCAATTCTTGTATGAATGCAATTTCTGATGTACATTTTAATTTTGTTGTTCACCTTTTACTACTTAAACTTGTATATACGTAATTCATTATCTAGCCGTCCAGTGAAGTTGATTCATCCTTAGGGATTGGTAATTGTATGCTAAGAAAAGACCTTATAGCTCTTCAGCATTTATTAAATTGACATGCAAGGCTGATTAATTTCATAAAATATTGTAAAACAAAATAGAGAACTGTATTGAAATTGTCGAATGTGGGTTCCACATAAATATTTTAGGGCCCGTCTGGCCATTAAATAATTTCCTTCTTTCTGAATTTTTTTCCTTTTTTTTTAAATCAGTGTTTAGCCATAAAATTTTCGATTTTCATTTAAAGATAATTTCGTAATTTTTCAAAAATTTGAAAAACTCCCAAAAATTATTTTTCAAAATTTTCAACTCAAATCACTCACAAAAATTCAAAAACAACCCAAAATTATATTCACATCCAAATACAACTCTAATTTTCAAATACCATTACACCTAAAAATAAAAATAACATTTCACTTTTTTTAATCAGGAAGTTGGAGATTAATATGACATAAAAATTAAATCAAGTTGAATAATACATTTGTACAACTTAGTAACGTAAAAGCTCATCACGGCAGTCTGAATCATTAAATTCAAGAGGCAAATTCGATGTCCCACACTGATGTTGTGTGGATCCCCACAATAAATTTCTATACACGTATATCTTCTCATACTATTTGAAAGATTTCTCAGTGATATTGATACTCTTCATCACAACGATACTGCAAATCTTTTATCTTTGGTTAGATCAACAAGAGACCACGATATTTAATATGATGGAGATTCTTGACAGTACGAAGAATAAAGAATGGGACTTTGACATTATCATATACTAAAGTGACAATACTACAAATCCTTTTTGCTGATTATTCCAGTGGGGACACCATAACAAACTGGGGCTGCTCCAATCAAAAAAGGGAGAGTGCATGCCTCTCTTGCTTTCCCCATGAATGATCCAATCTTTGGTCTGTGGTTACAGTGGTTAGTAGATGTATTGTTTTTACACATATCAGGTGCTATATCTTTCTCTTTTTTTGTCCTTTGAGTTCTTTTGCTGTCACTAATTTTCATTGACTCGAGTTTATGTGAAAGAGTATCACATTTATCACATCTAAAAGAAACATTTGATCTTTCTCTCAGGATAGCATCAAGCATGCTCTTTCCAAATCTGTCAATATCCTTGTCTGTCACTTCCCATAAATTAGCAATTATAACCGGAGAACCTGCTAATAGATAGCCGAGGGCAGCACCCCGAGGAGCATAGCTTCCATGCAGATGCAGTGACCCACTACTGCACCCCATAAGCAGAGTAGCAGCACAACTCTCTAGTTTCTTTACCTCATGCTCAGGGATATATTGCGCTCCTGAAATGCCAGCATAGCAACATATTATTACTGATAGGGCATATAGGCAATAATAAGTAAAACTTAATCACCCTGATAATTTTGAGAATCAGTTCCAAGATTTTGAACGTACCACTTCCATGGCCAAAGTAAATAAAAAGATCATGACTCTTCAAGGCCTCAGCCAATTCTTCTACTGCTGGTGCAGTTCCACACTTTCCCTGCACAACGAAGTAAAATAATATAATTATTTGTAGACCGATTATATTCGCAAGCATAAAAGAAGGTTGCAGTAAGTTGACAACATGTAAATAGTTTTAACTACAATGAATACTTTTGATACTAAATGGACCTTAATATATACAAAGGAAGCATACAACAGACCTAAAATAATATGGGGACTAAGATAGTTGACAATTGACTCATAAGATTATTTATCCTAATTTTTACTTATAATCAGATAGTTATCACTATTTTTTAGTGGAAACAGTCTAAAATGATAGAACCACTATAGTTCCCACAGTAAACAAAACAACATAAAATACAATATATATATATATATATGCACACACACACACATCTTCATTCAGCTTATGATGTCTAGGACCCGCAAACCATGGTTAATCAGGATAGTTCAAGTCAATAATCATTTTAAAACAGTATTGATACTCTAATATCAAGCCTTTAGTTCAAGCTAAACATTAGAGATTTGTATTGCTATGATCCCCAGTTCTTTTCCTGTTTATTGGGTCAAGACTCTAATTTGAGTGAGACATGAGAAAAATCTTTCTGCTAATTTTCCTCCCATTTAAGGAAAACGCCTATATCTCATTTTTCAGTTGAAACTCCTTAAAAATAATAGGGTCCTTTTAGCATTCATAAAGGAAGATACTTGATGGACGTAACTTTTGTAGGGTATAGATATAGATGAACTTTTTAAGTACATGCACATGCAGAATTGGTGAAATGTGATGCTTAAGGTTTCTTTTTAATGTTCCAATTTCAGGAGTAAAGTAGAAAAGTACCTCAAAATCCTGATCTCTGAACCAGCTTTCAAATTCTATCTGCGTGCTGCTAAGATCTCCACTTGGATTCAAAAGATAATAGGAATCCAGTGGATCAATCGAAGGAATGGAATGTGATGGAACCCCTTGTTCCATAGGAGATCCTTGGTAGCACTTTAGCATCTGAACTTGTTGTTGATATGGGCAACACTTGATCAGGGTTGCTCTGATGCTGCTAATTGAGGGCATGCGATAAACCTGCTGGTTTCTTAATAGTGGTAGGTTCTCCCAAGGAAGCATCTGCAGAAAGTGATCATTATTCTCCTAACCAAAACACCTTCTGTTTAAAAAAGGTTACTGGACTTTTGCCAATTAGCAAGGAAATTTTTCCTACTTCGGGTTTAGGGTTTAGCAACACAGCTGCATAAACTTAGGTAAGAACCAGATAACTAAAGCTTTTTCAGGTTAAAAATGCACAATGTCTCGGGTTACATGAAACAACAAATAGCAATATATAACAAATCTATCATTTCCAGAGAGTTGCAAGTTCTTGAAACACAGAAGGACTTTATATTTCCTTTCTGCAAAGCTTTTGGCTAGCATAAGAAACTTAAAATATAATGAAGCACAAAGTTGAATCAAGACACAAGGAAGAAGAGAAGAAAACACACCTGCACCTCAAGATCCAAAACAAGAATAACTGGTCTTCTACTTATGGACTCAGTCTCTACCATCTCTTGGGCTTCATCAAGTATAGACTTGTATACTGAATCAAAGAGATTATCAACTTCGGTAGATGTCTTACCGAACACTTTGGAGTTTCCATTACCCCCTCCATGCAGGTGACATCCTTTATTTAAAACCATCTGAGAAATGTGATTTTCTTTCTCATAAGCGTACTTCGCAGCTCCGAGAATTACTTTAAGAAGACTTTTATGAACATCAGCTCCAGTTTTACATCTAAAATGATCATAAAGTTTCTTCACTAGTGAATCCAGGAGCTCACATTCTGACAATTCACCCAAAAGCAGGTATCTCCAAGGACCTAACCATGAATCCTCTAGATTCCTGAGGCATATAAAGTTAAACATACAATACTTTGAGTGCTTATTTGAAAGTGAATTGGCATTATGATAGGAATGATAGACATAACTTTCAGTGACTTCTCTCTTAACTTTCAGATGCAAAGGTGAAGGCATCAACAATTATACAAAATCATCATCATAACACCAACCTTTAAACTGAACTTTAGCAAACAGCCAAAATTCCAAGCAATTCAGTATTGAAAGATCCGATCCAAATTCAGAGAGACAAGCTTTTTCATGGAACATTAAATGAGATAAAAATCATTTGACTAACCGTAAAAATTTAGCAAGGCGCTGGTCAAGTTGTTTCCTCCACTTCCACCATGATGATCTGCTCTCTGTAGTATCTTCTAACAGGTGCACAGACGAGGACAAGTAATTATTCTCTAATATATCTCTAAAGACTGGTGCCACATCATCAACCACGCTGGATAACCAAGGGCAATGCCAGTGCTTATCTTTGACTTCAAAAGGAAAACTGGAAGTGAATTGGGCAACGTCATCTGAAGCTTCTGATGGCATGAAGGAAGAATAAGCCAAGGATATCTTTCATGAATTTACTGTTTCGTTTAGAATAAAGGACTGTATTACCTTTAACAATAGAATGTGCGGGCAAAATTACAGTGATAGGCTGACTAGTTGAGCTCATGCGGGATAACAGAACCCATGATTGAATGGGGTGCGGAGAATGCAACAATTCAGTCAACAAACTGGAAACAGAGCGTCCAAGCAAGCTAAGACAGACAACTGTACTAGTAGGCAGGCTCTCAAAAAATCTCGAAACAAAATCTTCAAGATCTTCAACTGATTCAGGTGCAAGCCTGCATTAAAAGAGGGTGCAGATGGAACAAAAGTGAGCACATCTTCTAAGCAAAGCTCCTCGATTCATGCTCAGACAAAGAAATACCTGAACATGTTAGGTTCTTCTGAACCAAGATGCTGTTGTGTCAAAGAACAGCAACCCTGAAAACAGAAAATCCAAAAATATTAGTGTACCCAGCACGGTGCAAAAAAATAAAAAAATATAAGCTTATGTGCAGGAAAAAAGTTAGATTCAGTAGTAGGTCTTGTCTTTTAGGCTTTAGCGTAGATTTTGTAGAAGCTTCGCAGGCTGTGGCTTTACCCTAGCAGTCTTTCAAAGTACAAACAGAATGCTAAGGTATATGTTTAGGGCTCCATGGTAGTTCCTTGGAGTCATAATCGTTAGATTTACTCTGGAACACTGCTGCTCAACATTTTCCTTGGAATAAAATCGGCTTCCTCAATTGGCTTTTCTTTCCAATTAATCTCACTTTCTATCTGATTTATCAGAAATGTCTGTCTGCTATCTTCAAAGAAGAGTTTATATTTTAAGGCCTTCTAGAGGATCTATCCGATGAAGCCAACCCTTACACAATATTTTGTTTCACGGGAAGAAGGATAAAGAAGAGAAAAGTTCAACGATTTACTTCCGTCGGATCGAGTACTCCTTATCTGACATGATCACAAAGGGAGGGTAGAAAATATACACTGGACTTCACATCCAATTTAGGAGGGAAAGAAA